CTCAGTACATTGTTAGGGCGGCACTCTAGTAAAAAGGAAGTCCTCTTGATTCCTCAGTACATTGTTAGGGCGGCACTCTAGTAAAAAGGAAGTCCTCTTGATTCCTCAGTACATTGTTAGGGCAGCACGCTAGTAAAAAGGAAGTCCTCTTGATTCCTCAGTACATTGTTAGGGCGGCACTCTAGTAAAAAGGAAGTCCTCTTGATTCCTCAGTACATTGTTAGGGCAGCACGCTAGTAAAAAGGAAGTCCTCTTGATTCCTCAGTACATTGTTAGGGCGGCACTCTAGTAAAAAGGAAGTCCTCTTGATTCCTCAGTACATTGTTAGGGCGGCACTCTAGTAAAAAGGAAGTCCTCTTGATTCCTCAGTACATTGTTAGGGCAGCACTCCAGTAAAAGGGTAGTCCTCTAGATTCCTCGGTACATTGTTAGGGCAACATTCTAGTAAAAGGGTAGTCCTCTAGATTCCTCAGTACATTGTTAGGGCAGCACTCTATTAAAGGGAAATCATCTAGATTCCTCAGTACATTGTTAGGGCAGCACTTTAGGAAAACTTTATCTCGAAGTCGATGGGGTCGTGGGAAGTTATCTGAGTACTCAAGTTATGCGGGTTCATTAATTTGGTGAGAAATGCTGTTCGACATAGTTATTTCCGAAAAACGTACTTTCGTTTTACGCGATCAAAACGGTTGGACCACATTGTGAATTCGTTATTAAATATTGACGGGCCTTGTGATTAAATGCTATTTTTGGCTAGTCTAGAACTTGGCAAAGTCTTTCCATGTCTGCATTTGTATTTGCAAGTCTGTCAAGTTTTACTTCTGAAGTGTTACATTTAAAAATCGAACTATCCCGCTGTCTCCGTCCTCGTACTATACAATGCGAAAATGAAAGTGCGCAAGTCACTGTAATGGAGCATACGCATAGTTGATACTGTAAATGAAAACACACCCAAACATTATATCGTACATTAAAGCTAAATGCGACATCTGACACCTCCTCAACTATAAACATGAACCCGTGAAGCTGTCTTAGGTTGTGATTTCAACTGTGGAACTCTTTTATCCAATTTGTGACCAATTTTCCAGTTTGCACTGTCTGTTTGGTTGTACAAATCATTCAACGGACTCGCAGTTAGTACAGAATACTGTTGATCAACATTAATGAAATTTGTTTTTTATTATTAACAACATGGTTTTGGCAGTCTGCACACTTTACAGTCTGAAGCTTTATCGTAAATACGTTTTACCGATTTAGTCTACTCGCGAAAGATGTTCATAAATACGGAATGGCGAGATGTCATACTGTTGCGTTTTATTTGTATCAAAGAATTAATAAGTTGGTGACAAAATGAAATTCGAACACTATGAAGTAGACGATGTTTTGATGTTTTGATTTACGCTATTGAAACCAATATCTTATTTTGAGGTATCCGAGTTTTTTTGACTTTTCAGGGTTCGTTATCAGAGTTTTATTTATCAAGTTGATGTTAAGGATTTGTTATTTTGATAGTTTTAACGACATAAAAAATCCTGCCTCAGCAAATAGTCTGTGAAATTTAACCTTATGATAATTTGAGAATATAATTGTTTGCCGGCGTGCCCTTGTGCATAAGTGAAAGAGTAAGGTGAGAAAATCAATGCAAGTGAAACTGTTTATTTGTTGTTGTTGTGAACATGTAGTAATTTGAGTAACAGCAAAATGAAGAGGCTTGTGATTACTGCTGCTGTAAAACGGGCTTCAGAGTTCAGATTACGTGGAGAGGATGTCTCTAGAGGAAGTGGTGCTGATCTGTCATTGAAACAAGAACTTAAAGAGTAATGAGTATTTCTGAAGACGTTCTGCTGATGTATCATTGTAAAGCAAGCTTCACAGACTGATGTGTATTCCTGAGGAAGTGGTGCTGATCTATCCTTGTAAATTTACTCTCTCAGGTTTGAGTATTTCTGAAAGTGGCGCTCACTTATGATTGTAAGACAAACCTCATTTGGAATAATGCATATTTCAGAAGAATGAGGAGCGCAGTTTAACTCGTGTTCTACTTCACTGTTAAATATTGAGACAGTCTCAAACTTAAATTATCTACTTCACTGTTAAAAATAGAGACAGTCTTAAACTTAAATTATCTACTTCACTGTTTACCTTAAAGACAGACTCAAACTTAAATGTTTTACTTCACTGTTAATTATAGAGACAGACTCAAACTTAAATGTTCTACTTCACTGTTAATGATAGAGACAGACTCAAACTTAAATTTTCTACTTCACTGTTAATGATAAAGACAGACTCAGACTTCAATGTTTTACTTCACTGTTAATAATAGAGACAGATTCAAACTTAAATGTTTTACTTCACTGTTAATGATAGAGACAGATTCAAACTTAAATGTTTTACTTCACTGTTAATGATAGAGACAGACTCAAACTTAAATATTTTACTTCACTGTTAATTATAGAGACAGACTCAAACTTAAATGTTTTACTTCACTGTTAATTATAGAGACAGACTCAAACTTAAATGTTCTACTTCACTGTTAATGATAGAGACAGATTCAAACTTAAATGTTTTACTTCACTGTTAATGATAGAGACAGATTCAAACTTAAATGTTTTACTTCACTGTTAATGATAGAGACAGACTCAAACTTAAATGTTTTACTTCACTGTTAATGATAGAGACAGACTCAACTTAAATGTTCTACTTCACTGTTAATTATAGAGACAGACTCAAACTTAAATATTTTACTTCACTGTTAATTATAGAGACAGACTCAAACTTAAATATTCTACTTCACTGTTAATTATAGAGACAGACTCAAACTTAAATATTTTACTTCACTGTTAATTATAGAGACAGACTCAAACTTAAATATTCTACTTCACTGTTAATTATAGAGACAGACTCAAACTTAAATATTTTACTTCACTGTTAATTATAGAGACAGACTCAAACTTAAATATTCTACTTCACTGTTAATTATAGAGACAGACTCAAACTTAAATATTTTACTTCACTGTTAATTATAGAGACAGACTCAACTTAAATATTTTACTTCACTGTTAATTATAGAGACAGACTCAAACTTAAATATTCTACTTCACTGTTTACTATAGTATACACTGTGTGTAATTATTTTTTCAAGACCTTTGACAAAAATGACCTCTTACAGGCTAGAGTAAATTATTGAACTCGTGTTTGCCAGCACACCAGAATCCATAGCTCAACATATACAATTCAAAATATACATAACGTGTTCTACTTCTGCATTGAGAAACTAAAATGGTTTAGTTTCTCTTTTATCAATTCATTCGAAGTCCATGCCAGTATGAAAGTATATTTTAAGAAATATACAAATGCCATCTACCGATTCCAACACAACAGACTGATTATGAAAACTTAATGTTTAGTTAAAGATGGTATCAAAAGAGTTCAAGAGAAGAGGAGGCTTGAGGTAAAATTTGACATCATTGATTGACAAGTGTACCAGCAGTGAAGGAAACATGGATGTAGGAGAATGTTGTGTGAGGAGATCGTCCCCAGACACGACACAGATGGGCAGAGAGTAGCAATCACACACTAATACTTTCAGGCTGATAATGAAAATAATTATCATGCTGTCCATTATAGATAAAGGAAAGCTGGAATGTTCCTACAGCCGGAAGTGGAATGGTTTCCTCCACTAGGATGGATGGACTGGGAATTATACTGGATATCTAGTGTATACTGTGTGTATTTTCACTGCCTGTGTATCACCAGCACAGATTAATACGGTTTACAATCAATTCCCAACTAGAATCTCCTGAGTGTGTTTCATTAATTAAACATATATTAGCCCAGTTTATAAACTCAACACATGCCTCTGTTAGTACAATGTATAAACTTTAAACATACCTGTGTTGATACAGTATATAAAGCTTAAACATACCTGTGTTGATACAGTATATAAAGCTTAAACATACCTGTGTTGATACAGTATATAAAGCTTAAACATACCTGTGTTGATACAGTATATAAAGCTTAAACATACCTGTGTTGATACAGTATATAAAGCTTAAACATACCTGTGTTGATACAGTATATAAAGCTTAAACATACCTGTATCAGCATAGTGTTTAGGGTGCAAATAATCTATTAGCATTATATTGTACTTAAACACACTTCTGTTAGCATATCATTTTCAAATGTAGTTTTATTAGTGCTGTAAATGAAATTTAAACATACCTATATACCTTAGATATATAACCACAATATATCAACATCCAACATGCTTACATTACCACAGTATATAAACCTTTAGTACTTTCTTGTAATAAACAGTGTTTAAACCATAAATGTATTTATATTACGTTAATGTACAAAACAGTAACATACCTGTATAAACACTGTATGTATACAGTAATAGTTGTTTTTTAAAATGAAGATGTAGAGAATTTACAGTAGGCACACAAATTTGAAAAGATAACAACTAAAGATCACAGCAAAACACGAGAATCAATAGGTAGTGCTAAAAATATCAGTACTGACGATTACAGAGCAATACCAGAGTCCAAAGATACTGCTACTGACCATTAGCATGACCATAGTGAAAAGTTAGAAGGTCTGAGAATTTACAGTAGCGTAAACTAGGGTGAAAGAAGTACTATCTATTTTCAGTAGACACAGGAGTGAAAAGTTACTTAAAGGTACTGAAAATGTACAGCACTGAAAAGATAGCAGTATTAATATGGAAGCTACTGATAATTCACAGTACACAGAAAGAGTGAAAAGATATGTACTAGCATATAGGAGCTGCAGTAGACAAAAGGCAAAACTATAGCAGTACTAGTATAAAAGCTGCTGATAACTTACAGTAGACAGGAGAGAAAAGACAGGGGTACTTAATATTTACAGTCGAGTACAATAGTGTTAAAAGAAGGAGGTACTGGTAAAAATAAAAATAAGCAATGAACAGACAGAAGTAGTGAGAATTTAGTAATGGTCACCTGTATTTTGTGTTACAGCCTGAAAACCTGTTGTTAGCTAGCAAAGCCAAAGGAGCAGCTGTGAAGTTAGCAGACTTTGGTCTGGCCATAGAAATACAGGGCGATCAGCAGGCATGGTTTGGTAAGTAATGGCACCCATAGCCTCTCATTCTCTCTTTAATGTCCATTCCAGCAGGAATTTAAACCGTGACATAGTGGTCATTTTGACAAATCTTTAAACAGTTTTCCAGCTTGTTTTCCAGAGAATATCTCTGGAAAAATCCCCCAGGATTCATGGAATGACACTGGTCAGGTTGTTTTTGTAAAAATGTGTTCTATCTTGAATGACACTTGTGCTATTTTATAGATATTTATAGTATAATTAGATACTGTTTTTATTAGCATTATGACTCCTTGAGGAGTTAGCTGTGTCGATGATTTTGACCTGATGACACACCACTGATGTCGTGCTGTATATCACTTCCACTGTTGACCTGATCATCACTTTATTTTGATCTTTACAACAATCATATAACTGGTTTGTTATTCAAGGATGGATGACTTCCACAAAAATATGCTTGTAACATTTCAATTAGTGTCTGAAACTTTTGATAAATCATTTCGATATCATAATTGAACAACTGCTTGACAAAATGGGACCTCGGTAACCTGGATTCAGAACTGACAAAATGTGACCTCGGTAACCTGGATTCAGAACTGACAAAATGTGACCTCGGTAACCTGGATTCAGAACTGACAAAATGGGACCTCGGTAACCTGGATTCAGAACTGACAAAATG